ACGAAGTTGGCGAGGCGGCGTTGGCGATATCCTTCTGCGCAGACAGAACGTGCGCGATCCTGGGCAGCTTCGGAATCCTAAGCAAGACATGCCGCCACCACCCGCGTCGCCGTCCGCGTCGCCCACCACAAACCACAAGCAGCAGCAACCATGGCCTCCATGATCCGCCTCGCCTCCACGACCGCCCGCCGGGCCCTGCCCTCCAGCGCCCGCTCCATGTCGGCCGTGCCCTCCGCCGCCGCGGAGTTCGACGCCATGGACTTCCAGACCCAGCTCTACATCAACGGCGAGTTCGTCGACGCCAAGACGGGCGCCAAGTTCCCGACGGTCAACCCCCACGGAGGAGGTCATCACCTACGTCCAGGAGGCCGGCGCCGAGGACGTCGACGCCGCCGTCGCGGCCGCGCGCGCGGCGCTGCCCGCGTGGAAGCGCGTCGACGCCGCGGACAAGCGGAACATGCTCCTCAAGCTCGCGGACCTCCTCGAGGAGGCGGCGCCCGAGCTCGCCAAGCTCGAGAGCCTCGACAACGGCAAGCCCGAGCACATCGCCCGCGACGTCGACATCGCGCAGTGCGTCAACAACTACCGCTACTTCGCCGGCTGGGCCGACAAGATCACGGGCAAGACCATCCCGACGACCCAGGGCACGGCGGACACCTTCGCCTTCACGACGCGCGAGCCCGTGGGCGTCGTCGGCGCCGTCATCCCCTGGAACTTCCCCCTGCTCATGCAGTGCTGGAAGCTCGCGCCGGCCCTCGCGGCGGGCAACACCGTCGTCATGAAGCTCAGCGAGAAGACGCCCCTCAGCGGCATGAAGTTCATGGAGCTCGTCGAGGAGGCGGGCTTCCCCGCGGGCGTCGTCAACATGCTCAACGGCCCCGGCGCGACGGGCGAGGTCCTCGCGCGCCACGGCGACGTCGACAAGATCGCGTTCACGGGCTCGTCCGCCGTCGGCCACAAGATCGCGTCCGCCGCGTCGGAGACGAACCTCAAGCGCGTGAGCCTCGAGCTCGGCGGCAAGTCGCCCCTCATCATCCACAAGGACGCGGACCTCGACCAGGCCCTCATCTCGGCCCACGTCGGCCTCTTCCTCAACATGGGCCAGTGCTGCGTCGCCTCGTCGCGCATCTACGTCCACGAGGACGTCCACGACGAGTTCGTCGAGAAGATCGTCGCCCTCGCGTCCCGCCTCCGCTCCCAGGGCGACCTCACGTCCGAGACGGACGTCGAGATCCTCGACCTCGGGCCGCAGGTCGACAAGACGCAGTTCGACAAGATCATGGCCTACATCGAGGCGGGCAAGGCCGAGGGCGCCAAGTGCGAGATCGGCGGCAAGCGCCTCGGCGAGACGGGCTACTACGTCGCGCCGACCATCTTCTCCAACGTCACCGACGACATGACCATCGCCCGCGAGGAGATCTTCGGCCCCGTGATGCAGCTGCTCAAGTACAGCGACCTCGACGACGCCATCGCGCGCGCCAACGACACGCAGTACGGCCTCGCCGCGGGCGTCTGCACGCGCGACGCGGGCACGGCCATGTACGCCGCCAAGGAGCTCCAGGCGGGCACGGTCTGGGTCAACTGCTACGACAACTTCGACGTCGCCGTGCCCTTCGGCGGCTACAAGGAGTCGGGCTGGGGCCGCGACAAGGGCGAGTACGCGCTCGACAACTACACGGAGACGAAGGCCATCATGATGCCCATCGACCGCAAGGCCTAGGCGGGGCCCGCCGCCCGCTCGCGCCCCGTCCGACGCAATTTCCGACGCGGGGCGCGCTATTAATTACTGCTTTTCCCCTGACCCTACGGCGGTTTTCGCTCGATCGCGACATCCTCTGGCCCATGTTGCTCCTCATCGACCGTCGCCGTAGGCAGGTAAAACACGCCCAAAGAAAAATTACGCGAGCTCGCCGCGGGCCTCCGCCTCCAGGTGCCGGGCCTCGCGCGCCCAGACCTCCCGCGAGGCCGCGTCGCCGCCCGGGCCCGCGAGCGCCGCCGCCGCGCGCGCCGCCGCCGCCGCGCGCGCCGCCGCGTCGCCGCCGCAGAGCGCGACGCGCACGTCCGCGGCGACGGCGAGCGCGTGCGCGTCGCCGAAGTCGCGCCGCGCGGCCGCGGCGGCGTCGCGCGCGAGGCGCGCCGCGGCGGGGAGTTCGCCCGCGGCGCGCGC